GTTTGATCAGTTACGTGTTGATCATGGAACAGAATTTTGCCTTTGCATCTTTTTACAGGAGTTACTTAAAAATAGACGTGGTGATACCAGCAGAGCCCCTTGGAGACAAACCACATCTACTAAGAATTACAGGGCAGAGAGGCTATGGCCAGAGGAAAATGCTCGAGTTAACTATCCTCTTAAAAGGGCGCTTAACTTCATTAAAGAGCAGGAGATATTCAATATGGAAGACCCCCTTGTTAGTTTTGCAGTTTCTTAGGTAACTCTACATGTCAGTAAAGTGGGTTCAGAGAACTTTGTCAGCTCTTGGAACTATCACCGAATTCCAGGTGAGTTTTGGTGCCTTAGACGAAGGCCACTCAACGTTGGTGTTATTTTTTCCCTCAATTCTATTAACCATGATTATGTGTTTATTGTAACATATATGTTTTTTTATGTGATATTTCCCATTTACTAATGGTTTTGTGATGTTGTTCTGTAAGGAAATTAACTCTAGCCAAAGTAGTTGGGAGAAATATAGTCAAAAGCCCAGTAATTAAATTGAAAACTAGATTATTAGAGGTTTTCATGATACCTTGTAATATCTATTTCAATTTTCACTTACAGGGCCCAAGGGGTGTATACCCATTGAAAAGATGACAGAAACAAACATGGCTGTTCAGCTTGAACCACATGAAATTCCAACAACTGCAGCGGTTGTACAAATGTATGAAGAACGAGGTGGAAGTCTCAATAGGGATCCAAGCATTGGTTGTGATCCAATTGCAGGTTATGATCATTTAATGGAATCAAGAGAGTATTTGTTTATGTCTCAAAACCCATCATTCGAAAGCATGTTTTCAGATGTTGTCCGCGATAAGAATGAAGCATGAGTCAATGCCATCAAAAGCTTTATTGACATAACAAATTCACTTGCCATTCAAGCAATTCCATGACTACAGATTTAGACTTAATCTATTTTCCATAACAGAACTTCAACAGTTTTTTGTTTTGTTTTGTTTTTTTTTTGTTCAAATTAAAGACTCAGTGGTCATCAACACCAGATAAACTTATGTAATCTTTCCATTAATAATCACCTTCCCTGGGAAATTCAAACGTAACTAGGTGCATAGGTAACATGTATTTACTAAGAATGGAAATATGCATTTCCATTGTAATATTAATGGGGATTTCATTCGTCTTGTTTCGTTTTATTTTTCTGGCTGTAAAATTCTACATACAGTAGAAAAAGCTACAACCAGTTGCAAAAATGTTGAGACCCTCTCACGAAAAAACAACCTGTCTTGCTTCAAATCGCTGCTAGTCACAGGTCTGTGAGATAAAATACTGACCTTCCCCCTCCCCCCCTTCAAAGTTGTTCCTCCAAGTTTTGAGCATGGTCTTGTATTGCAAGCAACTTTGAAAAGGGGTGGAGGGGGGGTCACAAACACAAGATCATGGACTAGCCATTTACGCCAAAATACGGTACAGTGTCTCAAGTACTTTTGCAACTGGTTGTCTCATTTACGTTTTACTTCCAAAAGCGATTTCCACGTCTCAACTTCCCAAAGCGAAGACTATAGCGAGATAAATAAATAGAATGGCACTTTCTGTTGCTTTTCCCAGCTGACGCATCATTATCATTGATAGCAAAACTGCATTAAAAAGCGCTTAAGAATGTAGTGACTTTTAAATTTTGCTACTCAATTTAGTTGTAACGCATGTGCTATTAATTATATACCGTGAAATGGCTGTTCCGGCGTTGTGATTAAACTCTGAGAAGTGTGAATGCATAATCACAGCATACTTTTCCTCTTCTTGGTATTTAGAGATATTATAGTTGCGAATAAAGCTGCCAAAGCACCATTTTCACCCCTGTATCTGTAACGCAATGACATTTGATAGGCAGTGGCGTTATGTCATCGGTATACCGCGTGACTTATTTTTCAACACCGCTGTAAAAGTAAAACCGTTCAGTTTTTTTCGTCGACTACAGTGAAAATAAGATAGTTTTAACTTCCGTTAGAGCTAGAGAGCAGAAAAAGTTGTGTGCTATGTTAGTTTCTATTTTCTGACGGTCTACTATCAATCACGGTCTACCATTCTGCAACAGTAAGAAATATGATATATCATTATATTTATCTGATATGATGGTAGACCGTGTAGACCGTGTAGACCGTTGACGCACGTAAATTCCTGACGTTGCTATGCTGGAAAATTACTATTCTTGGGGACAGTGACTTCTTCTTTGCAAAGAAATGCATTTTGTTACCAAGTATAGAATACAAGGCCACGTTATATGCGAGCTCTCGCGGCTATGTTACTGAAATACACGCGTGAATTTTCACGTTATCTGATCACTAGCCACACTCGGGCTTCAAAATCGAAACAAAGTTCAGGGGCACCCAACGACAATTTTCGGAAAAATATCTGTTCGGGAGACGATTTGAGATCTAGAATTTTCGGAACATTTGTTGTAAAATTTCTTGCTTGCCCGCCTCCTAGGATTTTCGAACATCTAAAAAATAGCTCTCGCGGCTATGTTACTGAAATACGCGCGTGAATTTTCACGTTATCTGATCAGTAGCCACACTCGGGCTTCAAAATCGAAACAAAGTTCAGGGGCACCCAACGACAATTTTCGGAAAAATATCTGTTCGGAAGACGATTTGAGATCTAGAATTTTCGGAACATTTGTTGTAAAATTTCTTGCTTGCCTGCCTCCTAGGATTTTCGAACATCTAAAAAATGGTATAATTGCCTATTTTAGCGGATTTTTACCCTAAAAAGGTCACCTAGAATTTTCGGGAGCCTTTTTCCTGGCTGAAATTTTCGAAAAGGTAAGTTTTGATCCCTATAATTTTCGGATCACTAGACTTTCACCTAGGAAATCCGAACAGATGAAAAATCTTTAGGGGATCAAAATATGCCTTTATCTACCTTTAAATAGTAAAATACGTTTAAAACTACTATGTTTAAGTGGTTTTGAACTATATCCTCGTTGGGTGCCCCTGAAAGTTGTAAGACAACCAAAACGTAAACATCAATCCAAACTTGCGTTAATTAAAATAAAGTCCACAACGGTCCGTGCACGGTTCGGCCAACCCTTTTTTTAAACTTTCTGTTCCATGTTGAGCAAACAGAAAGATATGAAATTGACATCTTTTTCGATTAATTCTTTTATGTTACAAGTGTCTAAATTATTTTTGCTTTAAAAACACCTTTTTATTGAAATTTTATAATATGACGGCGCCAAAGAATTTTTGCACTTAAAAATAATGGTAAAATCTCCAAAAATTGCCAAAATTCCAGAAGTCCTTGTTTCTTTTCTTGAATCCATAAATCTTATCCCTCCATAACAAAAATTACTCAACATCTTCTTTTTACTGTTTTATGCTGTTTTATGCTAAACAAAATTTGACTTCCGTTTTATCGTTTTTTGTATTTTCGAAAAAAGAAATACAAAAAACGAAAAACGAAATTCGACTTCCTTTTTATCGTTTTCCTTTTATGTTCAAACAAAAACAAAAAACGGAAAAACAAAAAATGACTTCCGTTTTATCGTTTTTCCTTTTATGTACGAGAAAACACAAAAAAGGAAAAACAAAAATCGACTTCCGTTTTATCTTTGTTCGTTTTGGTACGAACAAACGCAGAAGAGGGAAAAACGACAAATGACTTCCTTTTTATCGTTTTTCCTTTTATGTACTAAAACACACAAAAACATACAAACGGAAATTGACTTCGGTTCTATCGTTTTTCGTTGTAAGTACGACTAATCAATGAAAGAAAGAACTGGATATAACCTAATTTTTTGTTTATAGTTTTTTCGTCTTCTCTGGCTGTTTAAGTGAACCAAGAGCAGAGACAGAGAGGGGTCGGGGAGGGGTTTGAGTAGGGGTTGGTGGTTCCTTTCGGAAACTCGTCTAGGTGTTGTTGGTCAGCAGTTTTTATAACCGTGGTATGCGTCTATTTTCGCGGGTCCTTCAAAAATGGCGGGGATGGAAAACGTAGTTACTGCCCGCTACGTGAAGGAGCTTGTTGAAGAGCAAGGCAAAACACAAAAAGAAGTAGCTGATATTTTAAGACAACAGCATCCAGGAGTGAATGGACTATCTGAGAGGAGTGTCAGGCGATTTTGTGCTACGAATGGCATACGGCGTTATGATTCTTGTGTGACTGGTGTTGATGTTCACAATGTGGTTACATCTGCGATTGCTGAGGTGATTGTAGCTTCCCTTTATAATATTAGATTCAGCTAGTGTGTAATATTGTAGCATACCTCTGATTGCAAATTGTCTTATTAGTCTTCCGTCTGCAGCCGTCATTAGGGCCAACGGGTTACTCTCTTTCGTCGAATTATATATTTTATTAAACAGAGAGAAGTGTTGAGTGACGACTCAAACTTCAATGCTTGCCAGTGCGTAGGAAACCCAGGAGGGGGGGGGGCACTTATGGTAAGTTTCGGTAGAGGTGTGCCGCTGAGGCTTTCAAACCCTATTTACGACAACAACCATCCATTCCGATACTCTGTTTAATACAAGAGACCATTTTCATAACCCTTAAGATTATTTATTTCTATACGTCTACAGAATTAGTATTTTTATTTGTGAAAAAATAACATGATAGGACTAGATTTCTTAAAAAAATATGTTGTTGCCATCCATTGACTGCACAATGCCAGCAATCATCCCCTGTTCAAGACCTCTGGTTCAGAAAGACACCCTGTTCAGGACCCAGAAAAGTGAAATTGTAAGAATCAATACCACGAAAACTATGCCCTGTCCAGCGGCACATGCCCTTTAGGCCGAATAAAGGAGTTCCCCTCCGGGGGGAGGAGACACGTTATTGTACGTGAAATGCACGCGTTTGTCAATTTTATTTAAGTGGTTATATTAATTCATATCTAATTTAACAGCCTCATCATCCACACCCAAATATTTCATTTCCTAGCGGCGATTTCCTAATAAAGGCAAAATTCCTTATATTTCTGAAAGGTTGGTGCTACATACGGTAGGAAGATGATGACTGGCCACATCAAGTATTCCACGGGCTTGCGACTAGGAGTAAACAGAGTGGGGCAGGCACTTAAACGCGTTAATCCACGCCAGCACCATGAACGACAGACATCCATTACCCGCCACTTAAACCCTGTTCAATACTATGCCGAATACTTTGGACACAAGCTCCATCTTGATCAAAACGAAAAGCTTATTCGTTATGGCGTGACAGAGGTTATAGCAGTAGATGGCTATAGCTCCTTTATAACTGCTACATCGGTAATGCCATTGAAAAATAATATCACCATGTACAGGGATGTGTTCAGGTTAGCTCCGACATGAAATATATATTATTTGCCGTGCACATTTTTCAGGTATAAAAAACTCTCAAAACTTCTCACTTGAATTAAAAGGTACAATTTAATGATACTCGTCATCCACTTGTTCTATTACTAGGGAAACCATACTACGTCATGGTTTGTTTGACCGAGTGAGAGTGGACCATGGGAGAGAATTTTATCTAGTGCTGACCGTTCAGGATCACTTAAAGGAGTTACGAAATAATACATCTAGACAGCCATACATACAAACACAGTCAAAGCAGTACGTGGTAATATAGAGGGAAGGAGAAATGAACCGGTTATTTTCTATAGTGATCGGTCGGCGTGGACCTGAAAAACCAAATTTTCGCGGGTTTTCTGAAATAAGGTGTTAAAGAAGATATAACTCCTTAAGAGCAGGTTGAAAACCTGACGCTTTCAGTGCTGGCACGTCGTCAACAATAGCTTCAGGCTGCAAGTCCTCCGCCATGCACCCCTCTTTCCATACTTAAACGGCAACTGATTCTGCATTCTCGTCCCCAGACCCTCCTGAGGGCCTCAGCACGAAGACCAGGAGGGTCTGTGACCCAGGATTTGAAGTCCTAGATTTTAGGACTTCCGGTTATTTCCGATTCAAAAGTAAGTTACAGGATTCTCTTTTAAAAGCTTTGAATCACCTAAATTAACAGTCATTGGGACTTCGGCAAGAGCAAGCGAACGCTATTAGAAACGTTGTAAAAAATCAGAAATGACCGGAAGCCCTAAAATCTAGGACTTCCGAGTCTCCTGATCCTCGTGCTCTGGCCCCCAGGAGTCTTTGGCGAGTCTAGTATTGATAAGCTGATAAGTATTTGTTCTGCTTTTATAATTCTTAATTAAAGAACCATGCTGTGGAACGGCTCTGGGTAGAGGTTAACTGTCGCACAAACTATCCTATAAAGAGGGCACTCGTTCAAATGGAAAACGATGGTGTCATTGATATGGAGGATGAAGTAACAAAGTTCTGTGTCTCTTGGGTGGCGAAGAAAGTAGTGGAAGTAGGACTGAGCTACGTGGTCAACTCATGGAATTCACACCCCATTCCAGGTAAGGAGTCCTAGTGTTAAAAAAAAATATATAGCAATAAAAAAAAATAGGAATATTAAACGGACTAAAATATGTAGTGTTCCACTGGATGAAACGCACGTTCGCGTATGGCTCAGCTATTGCTGTAAGTCGTTCGACTATTTCAATCGGTTGGCAAGTGAGTTGCCAAGGGATAACCCATTGATACACGGGACATTTTTATAACCCGCGTGGGGAATTCTCCCTAAAATGAATTAAGGATAACCCTTCCGGATTAGTCATACTATTTTTTTGAAAAAGTAAAATTGAAACGTGAATGCGATTGTCTATAGATCTCTAACCGCAGAGACTTCACTTAAAGCGCATAGCTAATTTATGTATCTCGACAGTTTAGTCCAGAAGAATAGCCGCTCAGATCTGTAACTGACACCAACTTACTTTAGAATTGTGCAGGTAAAGGTGTTCCACTACAACGACGATTTACTAACAACAAGGCCGCTCCAGTTGACGGCAATGCAGTACCAACAGTCGAATTAGCTGTGCAGATGTTTCGCGGAGATCTGACTCAAGAACACTTCTTTGGAAGGGACCCTTTGGCGGCCAATATTTCAAAAGCAGATGCTAGAGAAAGAGAGTTCACAAAATACTTTCCGAGTTTCCAAGTATTGTTTAATGAAATTGCCAATACGAACTACAACCCTTTCCAAGATGCTGTACTGTACTTTTTGAGGCTCACACATTATCTCGCTCGCGCTTGAAGTTATAGATCGTTTCTTCAATACTTTTTGAAAGTTCGTTTGAATAAAGAATTGAATAGAGGTCCGAATAATGGATATAGACGTGATCTATAAATTATAAACTGAAAATCTTTGACTTTAGCGTTGAACAAAGTTTTTTTTTTCACCGTTCAAATTTAAAGAGTAGCATATCTTCTAGTTACTAATTTGAGGAAATCGACGTCAACAGCATCATCAACAACAAAAGTTCATTCCACTTCAGAATTAGTTATTAAAAGGTTAAACAGTAACTTTCAAACACACGATTTTATGCTAGAATGCTAGTACTACTCCCTACCAAGACGGTGTCTCTCCGAGCCGCACCACCATCACCCGATAGCTGAATATGAAACTGATAAACGCAACAACAACATCAACAAAGTCAATCTGTGAAGGAAGTCTCTAGAAACTTTAAGACGATTCAAATGCGCTTTTAATTTTCAATCAAATTAACCAGGCTCTCAAAGCCACGGGCCCGCTTTCTTTTATTTACACCATCTTCATCTCGGCAATGGGGGCAGGAACTACTGTTTCGATACCACTCTTCTGCGCATTCAACGCATGCTACAAGACGGTCACAGCATCCAGCAAACACAATGCCATGGGGAGGCATGACATTTTGGCATATAGTGCATTTAAACGTGGCCGCCAGAGCGCTGTCTAGATCGTGCAGCCTCTTACAGCACTTCGTGTTTCGCTGGATGGACTCTTCTATTTCGTCCAGTTTGTCGAGTATGAGGCTTGTGTTATTGTGATCAGCAAGTGATGGCCTGCTGTCCACGGCAAGTCCTCTTTTCCCCTTTCCTTGCCTGCTTGCAATCTTGGAACGCTTCAATTTTACTCTCTCGTATTCTATTTCTCGGCATGCATATACTTTCATCGTACCTTTGCCCCAGAATTCTGAACCTTGATTAATGAAAGGAGAAAGAATCAGACATTCAAGTTATTCGTTTATTCCAAGGGTGTTTTTTTTTCTAAGAGATGGATGGCGCCAGGTGAGTATGAATTAAACATCTCATTAACAATTATGCACTACAACGACAAGCATATGGTTTTTGCGAGTCGATAAAACAGGCAATCAACGATGCCCACGTACCATAGTGAGAAGCAGCAAGTACTGATTCACCTCCATAGTATCGAACGAAACTGAGATAACGCCTCGCCAAATTTAAGAGAAACTTATTTAATAATAAAGCTTCCGGTTTATGAATAATAATGATAATTAAACGTGGAGCACGTTTGATACGTACGCCCATGCAAGTGTCTGTAACGGGCAGTTAACTTACCACCAGTCCCCGGATTGTCCAGAATCTCAAAGCCATTGGTGTCCAACATTATTAAATCCTCTTCAATATTGAGGTACTCTTTCGAAATTTGAGCAACATCTGTCACCGTGCATTGTTCAGGCTTTAGTTTTAAGTAGGCACTGGCCGTCGGGGCAGGAGTCATGCTATCAAGGTCAAATTCTGCGAGGAAAACTTTTCTGCGAATCTCTCCCGATGATCTAAAAGGTCTGGTTGAGCCTGATGAGAAAGAGGGATTTCGATGAGCAGACTGACTCCTGTTGGATGGCGGATCATGTACGTTATAGGCTCCTGGTGGCACACTAGTGCTGCTGGTGCTGGCTATGCAAAAATCTTGCGGTGATGGTAGTGGTGCAGTGTTGTCTGCAGCTCCCATATCTGTGCCCTTGACCTCAAGCGACGTTCTATCGAGCCACAATGTCGTTTCAAAGTTACCCAAACCGTTGGGGAATCTCGCTACTCGACTAAAATCGTCTTGTAAATAAAGACCACTTCTTTCAACCTAATAAAATAACAATATAACAGGACGTGTCGACCGTTTTTACAAAACAGATATAAGCGGTCTACCTCTGTAAGTAACCGCTACCTCGTGAACGTAACATCGCAGCCCTTAATACTACAAAAATTAAACACAGTAGTAACCTGTTATTTTCACAATTCTACTATACCTTCAACCCCCGCCTTGCTAAAATCCGAAGATGGACTTTCAGTCTATTAAAAGACTCCATATTATAGCAAATCTAAATGGCATTCTTTTTTAACAGTGATTCGAGCATGTCTGCCACTTTCACTCTGGTTCACGCCAAAACAAAAACAAAGGTACTGATTACACGCAGCGGGCTGAATCCGTTTAGCAGGATGGCTCGGTTGTCATGTAATGACCAAGTTCATTTTTGGTTGCGTTGAACTAACGTGCAACAAAATAGAAGGTCGAGACCTTGTACTCGGGTACTAAAGTGGGAACCGGGTCCCTGTGTGCACGTGTTTTCCGTTGATGATTCCGTTGACCCATAACTTCTTGCTACACTCCTTTTGCAAAAATGTCATTTGCTGACGGAGCAAAGTGGACGAAAGACAACTTGGGTACCCAGAGTGTGGACAAAGCACCATTTTGTGAAGTGTGAACGCACCCAATGAAAAACGCACGAAACACCTGCTTTATTTAAGGCCCGTTTACACGTTAAAAGAGAAGGAACGGCTCGGTTAGAAACAAGTACCGGTTCCAGACGAAATCTCCTGTTTACACGTACAAATTCTGTAATGTGCCCGACAGAGAAAGGCACGGTACTTGAGAGCCCCTTGGAACGGGTACTAGACTGTTTACACGTTGTTTTCTTCGAGACCGGTAACGATAGAGCCCGCGATAATTAAATAAAACTGCTTCGATTAGTTGTTCATATGCGCTTAATCTCCGACATTCATGGATGCAGGTTTACAAGCACTTTTCTGGTTTCTGGTAAAGAAGAGAACACGAAATTGACGTTTGACAGCGCGTGCGATTCGTCAAAGAAGTTCTTCTGAAAAAATGTACCGAATTAGGAGAAAAACAAGGCTTACGGTTCTCCTATTAACAGCCCTTGTATCGCACTTTACAGTCGAAAGGAGCTTCTGGCAAAGTCCAAGAACAAGCGCTCGGTTTGATCTTACATACAGCACTTACTCTGACCACAGGTAACCCAGGCTCTGTGATAGTACCACAGTACGGTTCCAGTAAAATTACAGTGTTTGTATGGGGTAAAAATGTCATGCTAAAATTTCTAGGAAATACTAAATAAAGATCAATGAAACTTACTCTGCAGTTAATTGTTGTTGTCCTTATTGCTCCAACGAAGTTTCGTGATAATTTGCAGTAATTTGTTCAAATTCACTCTATCTACAATATTAATATACAAGGTAGGAAACACGAGGTGCCATTTTCGACGACATGCTCTCATTCAACACAACTTTTTCCACGAAATTCGAACTCCAACGGAAAATAAACATGCCAGGATCGTAGAAATAGGATAGCAGCAGATATAGAAACCAATGAAGCTTTCCCAGATAGAGAAACGAATCCCACAGACTTGGACAAACTCGAAGAATATAATCCAAACACACCGAGAATACGCTCGCCGAAGCAGCCGGGCCAGATCAACGCGCGGCCAAGAAAATGAGACCTGGGCACTGTACAAAAAAATTCCATCCCGGGAGTCCTGGGGTGACCTTTCTAGGGACCGATACATCATTTGCCCAAGGCCACCCTCCCCTGCTGGAAAAATACTTGATAGAAGGCAATTGTTCTTCCTAGCCAATCACCATTTGCCAGAGCAAACCCCGCACACGCGCCTGAATTTAAATGGCTAAAAAAAAAGTAATATAATCAGGAGAGTCTGCGGAGTTACAAGGCGTCCCATTTCTTTTACTAAGGAATGCAAATAACAGTAATGAAACTAATGAAATAACAACGCGAAATGCTTACAAGGCGGGCTAAAAACAAGGTTGAACAAAAGGTAGATGGTGACTGAGATACTGTTGCTGTGAACTCTCGAGCGAAACTATCGTAAATAAACGGTGAAGCTTACAAACTAATGTCAAAAATTATACAGAAAATTGCGACAGAATATGAATTGCGATAACTGAGACGAATGTGAAAGGCACGTGCACTAGTAAACAAAGAACTAGCGCGATTAACATATTTAGCGATTAATGCGGCAGTAACACCCCGAATTCTTGTCAATACAAGTGAACGCTCTATCGGTTAAATATGTGAATCATCGTGATACACCTCTCTTTGAATTTGGTCCTGTTGTACAAATGCCTCGGTAAGAGCCAAAATTCACTTATATCTTTTGTTCGTTTTAAGAGCCAATGTCTGTAATTTTCGAGAATCGGTTGACAGTCGTGAATTTTTGAATTTCTTCATATTTTGCCCAAAAAATCTCTATAGTACACTTATTTCAAAAATCACATTAAAACTTGTAACGGCTTTTTATTTTTTCCTGAATCGGGCAAAGTTTGAATAACGCTAAATCGGCGCTCTTTCGAGTATGAAATTAGCAAAAAAATTAAGCATTTTCTTGGCGCTCGTACATATAAACGGGATGATATCTCTCAATGAAATCAAGTCACAAAGCAAACACAGACTTGTACTTTATAATTCAGCAATTATCTTCAGATAAGCTGTTTAAATGTGACTGTGTCGGCCGCAAGAAGAAACACGATTTCGGCTCTTTACAAAAATGGCAAATTTGACCTAACTTCACCATCGAAAAAACCCAATTGGTACATAGAATTTCAACATGAAACAAACACTATTTTAAAGTACATTCTTTACAGTTTCTTGTGTTAAAAAATTTTTGGCGGCATTACAAAAGTGCGTCGCTGAGACACCGAAACGTACAGGGTAGTTTCGCACGTTGGAACGCTGCAACAAACTAGCCGCAAGTGTAAGCACCCCGGGGTAAGCACACAAACGTTTTTGCAAACTTAACTTCTTTTACAAGGGGCACATTACGGGAAGCTCTCAAAATCTTTTGAAAAACACTTTTCAATTTGATGGTAATAAAAAAGAACTAAGTAGATTAACCCTGCATTTGATTGCCCGCAAGTAGCTGAAAAAGACATCGCTGCTCTGGCTGCTAATTTCGTGTTGAGTGTAAATATTGACCTTGAGTTTCTGCACCTAAAATAAAGCCGCTAGAACACGGCTTGCTAGCTCTAAATGAGATACGAGATCTATAAGAAGTTACTTACCAGTCGTTTCAGCTGCAAGTGGCCGCAGTTTACTGAAATTTTCCGTCGTTTAGCCACGGACTAAACCCTGTGTTGCGTGATGAAAGCCCGTGTGTGATTTGAGTCTCGTCACGCAACTGTACAGACAAGGATAAATCATCGCACGAGTGTACAAGAAAAAATAAAATGACAATTAACACTGTTTTTTAAAATTTTTTTTTGTATTTTATATTCCCCAAACCAGGTCGAACTAAACTTGATTTTAGGATGCACAAGCCGAAACTCAAACAGAGAAAGAAAACAAATAGAGTAAGCCGAGTCTGCAAAACGTTTCACACTAGTTTTCTTTTCATTGCACTGAGCCTTCTGAGCCTTTGGTTTTTATTAACTAATCTTAACCCCGCTTGGCGTATAGACTTCTCTATCGATCACCTCAGTATGAATTGAGGCATTTAGGTACACACGTACGCCATATGCAGCATGAAGGTAGAGCAGGGAAATGGAAACGAGTAAAAAACTGGTTTAAGAAAAATTGTCCAATGCTCCGCAAAAGAACATTCCTGAAAAACCACAAATCGACAATGGACAATGGACACATTTAATGAGCGAAATACAAGTATTTAACATGTTTAAATTACTGAAAGTAGTATTGCTTTGCTCCTCTGCAGCAAGGGTATCTACTGGCTAGACCTCAACCTGCTGTTGACGACCTGATCTCCCGCTCCTTAAAGGTCTACACATTATGGCGTTAGACCAGAATGCACGTACATGCTAGCTCCCGCCTAAAAAAAGGAATAGTCACCTGGCTCTCTCCGCCACCACCCCCCGGCACTTGTTCGCAGGCTAGAAAATAAACCAATTCACGGACAAGTTCTTTTTCATAACGTCAAAATCCGTCGCCTAAATGAAAAAATGCTTTAAAATGTCTCAGCCATTTTACTTATCATCTTTAAACCAAATCAGAAAATAGCCTTTCATATCGATTTAAAATTTCAGATGGAGAATGCCCTTTTCGCTAGGTCTGCACCAGCAGAGACCTGTGTGCTAAAACTCCTTCGTGGTGGTATCCCTCAGGCAAAAACGACTGCCTAGCAGCGAAGGGCGAGGGGAGAAGTCCGTGGCCATTTTCGAAAAGAAAAAGAAGTGTAAAGACTGCACCTTCGTCGCTCAGAAAACGTCTGCGTATATCATTTTCTTCAGGCCGCGCAGAGTCATTAATTAATGTGCCCTTACGGACCCCTTTTAAAGGAGCAGACAGTAGGCGGTTCTGGAACGGTACAACGTGATTTGTGCTCTGCCACCCGAAACCAAACCGTTAGCGGTGGTGAGTAAAAACTTCTATTTTCATGCGCCAATTTTGTGGATCAAACAAAGTCTGCTAGCTCTAAGTGGAGTGATAAAGACTTGAATTTTTGTATGTGTGTACCAACCCACCCATCTCCTCCTCTTGCCCTAGCTAAACTTAAACAAGCTAAGTAGACTTTTCATGACGTTAGCATAGTCACCTGAGACCTCTTGTAAAGTTCACTAAAATAATAGCAAGCACTTTCGTAGCCTGTTCACAGACCCCCTACTTTTTCTTTAGAGATCGTCGATCTATTTTCTCTTTGATCGTCGATTTTCGCGTATGAAAATAAAAACTGCATGGGATTTATTGACTATTAGCGCAAGATCTCTCTCGCGCGCTCGCTTCGCTTGCGTGCTTGTCTATTTTGGAAACGAAAAAGGAGTGTAAAAGCTGCACCTTCGTTGCTCAGAAAACGTCTGCGTAAATCATTTCCTTCAGGCCATACAGAGTCATCAATCAATGTGCCTTTATGGACCCCTCTATGAGCAGCCAGTAGCCTGATCTAGAACGGTACCACGTGATTTGTTGCACCGCCACCCAGAACCAAACATTTAGCGGTGGTGAAGAAAAACTCTTATGTTCATGCGCCAATTTCGTGGATCAAACAAAGGTCACCTAACGTAAATGCAGAAAACCTTACTTCTATCATTAACATACTCACGTGACTAACAAGTCAGGAGCATACCAAGTGACTCACGACATCTTTTCTATGATCGCAATACATTCAGCATTACTGGGGCCATAGGCGCCACAAACCAAGTTTGAATATGTGCGAGATGCTATTCGAACATACAACAAAGACTTGCACCGTAAAACACGTATACCAGCAATTTCTTTTCCGGCGCGTTACGCGTCACGCACTTCCGGAATGTTATCTTCCCTCGTGTTGACAGATTGAAAACATACAGAAACTTAACTTTGAATCTGCCTTGCTGCAGAATTTAGTTGGCGGTACTGTGACCCCGTCTAGCATTTAAGTTCAGGTAAGTAAATAACTTTTCTGATTTTAAGGTTTCAATACGATTAAAACTATAACAAGCGAGTATTTTGACAATATTCCTCTCTACGAACTTTGATTTGAACTGCGTATTCGTGTCTCTTCATTATGATTTATCGCAAAAATCAGTTGAAAGAAATCATGTTAAACCGAACAGAAACGCCGAAATATAATCTGAAACCGTTACAACTCTGACTAGGGTTTAAATATCGAAGTAACTTATGTTTGCAAAGGATTAATATTCCAAGCGTCGAAACTTGCTTGTTGCACGCGCTTTCCTGGTGTCAAAATACCCTTCAGGTTTTGGTCTCTCGACGGTGCGCATTTGGAATGCCGCCAGAAATATTTTAACACAAACAACAGCAAAGGATATGCTTTAATACAGTTTATGTTTCATACTGAAATTGCATGTACCAAGTGGGTTTTTACCATGGTGAAGTGAGGTCAAATTTGCCATTTTTGAAAAGTGCTGAAACCGTGTTTCTTCTTGCGGCCGGTACAGTCTCATTTAAACGGTTTATTTAAAGTTAATTGCTGAATTATAAAGTAAAAATGTGTGTCTGTTTTGTGACTTGATTTCATCTAGAGATATTATTCCGTTTTTATGTACGAGCGAGGAGGAAAATGCTCAATTTTCGCAAATTTCATACTCGAAAGAGCGCCGATTTAGAGTTTTTCAAACTTTACCTGATTCCTGAAAAAATAAATAGCTGTTACAAGTTTTAAGGTGATTTTTGAAATTAGTGTGCTATAGAGATTATTTGAGCAAAATATGAAGAAATTCAAAAATTCACGACTGTCAACCGATTCTCGAAAATTACAGACATTGGCTCTTAAGTTTTGTAAATCGTCCTTCGTTGTTCTTTCCTTTGCCCTTATCACCTTGCCCTATTGATGTTTGATAAACTTTCTGAGGACCAGCGCCAGGAGCTGAATATAGTTCGAGAGGAAAATAATCTCTTTATAACAGGCCATAGTGATTGGCCAGGAAGAATAATTGCCTTCTATCAAGTATTTTTCCAGCAGGGGAGGGTGGCCTTGGGCAAATGATGTATCGGTCCCTAGAAAGGTCACCCCAGGACTCCCGGGATGGAATTTTTTTGTACAGTGCCCAGGCCTCATTTTCTTGGGCGCGCGTTGATCTGGCCCGGCTGCTTCGGCGAGCGTATTCTCGGTGTCTTTGGATTATATTCTTCGAGTTTGTCCAAGTCTGTGGGATTCGTTTCTCTATCTGGGAAAGCTTCATTGGTTTCTATATCTGCTGCTATCCTATATCTACGATCCTGGCATGTTTATTTTCCGTTGGAGTTCGAATTTCGTGGAAAACGTTGTGTTGAATGAGAGCATGTCGTCGAAAATGGCACCTCGTGTTTCCTACCTTGTATATTATTATTGTAGATAGAGTGAATTTGAACAAATTACTGCAAATTATCACGAAACTTCGTTGGAGCAATAAGGACAACAACAATTAACTGCAGAGTAAGTTTCATTGATCTTTATTTAGAATTTCCTAGAAATTTTAGGATGATATTTTTACCCCATACAAACACTAATTTTACTGGAACCGTACTGTGGTACTATCACAGAGCCTGGGTTACCTGTGCTCTGACGATCAGTGGTATGCTAGCTTCCGAGTGTCGAAGAATACTTTCCAGTTTCTTCTTCTAACACGCATGTGACGTACGCTAAACAACTGACGTGGAGCACCACGGGCTCATAAAAAACGTAATAGAACGGTACCGAAAAAAGGGCGAGCGTTTACACGTTGAAAAGAAAACAAAAATGTGGGTACGGAACCGTTTTTTATCGGGTCCGTTCCGAAAGGGGTTCATAGCCGCCTATGGACCTTTTTAGGAACGGAACGGATACAACTGGAACGGGTCAAGTACCGTTTACACGTCGAATTTTGTCGGAGCCGTTCGTCTTTTTATCCGGGCCGTTCCAATATTTTCGGTCGTGTAAACGGGCCTTTAGTCTGCGTAGCAAGCGTTTCCGCGCGAGCTCGTTGACAATGCTCTCGCTCCAAATTTCGCGCAATAACTCGAGGAAAACGCTTGCTACGCAGGCTAGCCTTTTTTTAAAACTCCATTTTCAAGATCGTTGTCGAAAAGTAACCTCCATTTGGACGGTTTTACCGTTAAGGCAAGACAAAAACTAAGAACGCATGAGTGCAGATACTGCCTGAAAAACAAATTTGTCACACAAAAACATACTTGCCCTCCATCAGGAAAGGTTGTCTGCATTTTTTGAGGTTACCTAGCACGTGATTTTTCTAGCTACTGCAGTACTGCCCACAAATTTTCGTTTTTTTTGGTGGGGGATCATTTAAAGATTCGTCAGTCTGAATTTTCCAGTTCTAAATGCGACAAACTGTTAGCAAATTTCGTGTTCATTTTATATATAAAATAATCAAATGAAATCGCAAGGTCTGGATATCAAATCTGTGACATAAAAACAAACCCACACCCAGCCAGCAAAAGTCGCTTGCATTTTTTGTGGTTGCCTAGCACGTGATTTTTCTACCTCGCCTACGCAGTAAATTTGGGGAGAATCATTTTCACTTAAAGATTTTAACTGACAGAGACTTTCCACTTTCATATATAATGCAAAGAAGCAGGAAACTATCGCTTTTAAGATGATACATTTTTATTATGACTATTATTTTTTGTGTTTGGGTTCGCCGACAGGTATAGGAAATTTTTCCCGTGGTCTGTTCACACGCTGGTTCAATCAAAATTCTGAGTGGCCATTTGACGCATGATTGAACTTTCGGCATCTCTAAGAAAAGAGGAGGAGAATTCAACCAAAAAAAAGTGCGAAAGTCTTAGCCAAATTTTCTAGGCTTTGAGAAATAAGCTCAACGTAAATCGTGCAAATAATTTTTTTTTAAGGCAAAAATGTCAAAAAAAGAAAAGAAATCATTAAACCCTGTTGCCAGTCTCTCTCCACCCCCACCCCCACCTCGACCACATTTTTGCGGCCGTGGGAATAAACTCGATACTTTTCCATGAAGAAATGTTAAAGGTAAACTTAGTTGAAAAGAGATGCTATACTCACTCTACACACTGCTGATATACGCTCTGCTGTTAAGTCGTCTTCATTAAAATTAATTCTTTGTTGTCCCCGCCAAAGGACAAAAGTTCTGTCGTCCATGACTGACTGAAAGAAAAAGATCAAACAACGAAAAAGTTCACCACGTAGCAAATCTGAAAATATTAAGTCAGAAATTCTTCTACCAAAGAACACTTCAAAACGTAAATTGACGGCTGAATTGAATTATTACACTTACCAATAATAAAACCGCCTCGACTGTCCACAAATCCTCGCTATATAATTCCGCTCTTTCCTTCGCTGAAAAAAAAAATTTGATCTTGCACCGCGAATAACGCGCCAAGACTGTCATTAAGTCAGAACCGCAAAAATCTCGTTTGCAGAATCTTCGGGCTTTTTGGTCAGCGGGTGGTTGCTAGGAGGCCTGTCCTTTTCTCACTGACGGATCAGCCCCTCCTACGGAACAGACCTACCGCGGACTCTGGGCCGGTAAGAGCATTCGTTTCACGTAACGCATGCGCAGCTACATAGTCGGCTACCCTAAGTGGCAACGAAAACGAAAGTCAATTATCAGTTTACCGTTTTTGGTGTTTGGTCTTTCATAAAACGAAAAAAGTTAAAATGGAAGTCGGCTTACGTTTTCCGTTTTTTGTGTCTGTTCTTTCAAAAACCAAGAAACGATAAAAGGGAAGTCGATTTCCGTTTTTCCGTTTTATGTGTTTGTTTGTAAAACGGAAGCCGAATCTCGTTTTCGTTTTTTGTGTTTGTTTGTACATAAAAGGAAAAACGATAAAACGGAAGCCGAATTTCGTTTTCCGTTTTTTGTATTTCTTTTTTCGAAAATACAAAAAACGATAAAACGGAAGTCAAATTTTGTTTATCTTTTTTTGGAAAAAGATAGCATAAAACAGTAAAAAGAAGATGTTGAGTAATTTTTGTTATGGAGGGATAAGATTTATGGATTCAAGAAAAGAAACAAGGACTTCTGGAATTTTGGCAATTTTTGGAGATTTTACCATTATTTTTAAGTGCAAAAATTCCTTGGCGCCGTCATATTATAAAATTTCAATAAAAAGGTGTTTTTAAAGCAAAAGCAATTTAGACACTTGTAACATTATAAACGAATTAATCGAAAAAGATGTCAATTTCATATCTTTCTGTTTGCTCAACATGGAACAGAAAATTTAAAAAAAGGGTTGGCCGAACCGTGCACGGACCCTGTACCCTTGGGCAAAAGTTAGACCAGTCACTATTCAGAATCCTGTTTGAAGACATACTTGCATTATCGATCTAAATGGACTGTTTAAATGCCAATGAGGTCAATGCTTTAGGTTTTCTTTATATGGTCATTTTTACATAACGTCTTATTTGGTGTGCAGATTTTATTTGAGGAATAAGCTGAACCACTAAATTCTCTTGGCTATATTGTTTTTTTCTTATTCAGAACATAACCTATGTAAGAACCTAAATAGCCTTAACCAGTACTAACTACCATTTATATATTTAAAAGAATAACCTGTTTAGGATAACTTTGAAAACTCCAGGTTCTTAGTCTCTTGGTACGTTTTACTGTAAGACAAAGGCAAGGCGAAGGAAACCGAGGTGCTGCCTTAAAGAGGAAGCTAATTAGGACACACGATTAACGTTCAAGTGAAATGTATATAATGATAACCTTCAATCGTCAATCTCGCTCCCCTCTTGGATACATGATAGGGCAGCATAAAAACGTTCGGCACGTTCACTTAAATATTTTCTAGCTAGATTTAGACACTGCTGCTTTACATCTTCACAAATTGGCCTTAGTTCCTGCCTCAGTGTGGTCAGTAGGTCTATTCGCAGTGGAGTTGCTTGCCTTTTCTTTGTGTACGAAACTAGCCCGGGTTGCTGTTTTGGGTCAATAGTGAAACGCACGAAGGCGCAGTCGGGATGATCTACAACTTTCAGATTGCCGCTGTCATCAGGCTGTTCCCCAATTCCAACATTAATCCACGCGATTTCTTTGACCTCAAATTTCTCGTGCTGTAAATCTTCGTTTCTACTGACGTATTTTAACTTTAAAAATGACTTGTAGTCCTTTATCATGTCAAGACCTACCCAATGGACCTTGACGCTTGATAAACCACTGCTGACCAGAATGTTTTCCCAGTCTTTGGCTGTTTCAATTTTCTCTTGGGCGTTAAAAACTTTTTGAATGTTTCCAAAATATCTATCGCACACACTATACGAGTGGCCCTCCAACAAAAATTTTAAGTCTGTTCGTAGGAAGTCTCCTCTTGTGACCAGGTAATCCATATGAAAAAAATAGAAAGCTTTGCTTAAACTGAGCAGGAGAATTGTCACACCACACTATAAGATGGTCATACCTGTCTCGGCCTTGCTCAGTCTGAAGTTTTTTGAGAAAATAGTCCAAGATTGAGATCACTTCATTTGGGCCTACACCAGCAATAGACTCGTCGTACATAAAACAGTGTATGACCCCCTGGTTTGCGCAGTATATACCCATTAGGCTTGTCCTGAGCTTTTTTGAGTAATACCAGTCTTGAGACGACACCTTTGGTGTAGGTAAGCTTTTGTGAAAATCCATATGCAAAGTAAGCGTTTTCGAGGCCATTTTAGTCCATGACTACGTGACTACGTGAGGCTTAACACATCGTGCCCTCTTTAACGCAGCACTCAGTTTACTTTGAAACTTATCTCTTCAGTTATTTACAGCTTGCGCTAGTGGCTCGATATTAAAAAAAAAAAAAAACTACCGTTATCACTTACGTTTGCGACAGTCATTGGAAGAGAAACTTAAGAGAGCGCGCGCAGGTCCGTTGACCTTGCACACAGTTGTCTTCACATTAGGGACCCTAAGCAAACACGACTTTGAGCGATGCACGTCAACCGGAAGTGAGGCTTTCTCTTTTTTTATATGCCTTGAAGCTAAAAAATTTGTATTGCTAAGTTTCTTTTCTCTTATAAAGACGATTTGCCCGGGATTTTGAACCCATCCACTGCCCAATGTTGCAAAAAGCCCACTTCCGGTTGACGTCCGTCGCTCAAAAACGCTGTTGCTTAAGCTCCCTGTTGGAGCCAAGAGTCACGTTTGCGGCAAACGGCAAACGTGAATTTCTACCACGTGACCAAATGTTCCCTGTTTCTTGTTGTGAAATTCTCAACTTGAATCTGACGTTTGCTCTTTTCCGTAAAAGAGACTCTAAATATCTCTGTTCAGTCTGCCATGGCTCACGGTTTCCTGTACTTTTTTGAACTGAAATTGTATGTGTTTTAGTGAATCTTTTTCCGTGATGCAGTGTGTATTTTGTATTAGTACGGGGACTTTTTTATGTAATGAATAATTAAAAGGGATGACAATTCGAGGAGGGCGATTTTTTTAAAACAGATATATAACAAATACGCAACCCTTTTTCGGATTCAGGCCCATGTTTCATGGTAGGAGGGAGGGCTACCCACCTATCATAAGGCATAGGAAGGTTGTACTTTCCTCAAGTTAACAAAGCCTTGATCTGAGACATGCGATTAGCTTTGGTAGGCTAAGGTAATAGGCCCTTTGCAGCTAGTCATTCACGTGGTACAAAACCGCCGTGCTGGAGAGCAAAAAAAGACACTGGGACAAGACTAACAAAGAAAATTACCATTTAAAATTATGCCGGTATGTCTTTTGTCTGTCTTGTCCCAGTGCGACTTTTTGCTCTCCAGCATGGCGGTTTTGTACCACATGAATGGCTAGCTGCAGAGGGCCTATTACTAGTGCCATCAAATCGCAAACTACAAAGTTACCCACCTTCTCTCAAATCAACTCGAACTCAGCAAGTACAAATTCTTTCAACACTTTATTCACCTTAACTATACTGAGTTTTAAACTCTTCCTACATTTTCTTGACCTTCAAGCTAAAGCAAAGAGGAAATCAGCGTCGACAATTCATCTGCTACCTTTCATCTGTACACCCATTGACCCGTTTCTTAGACAGAACAAACATGTCATACTTTAAGGCAGCATATCTCCTTTCGCCCTCAATTAAATGATTTTCACGTTCTGTTCTTATTCTTTGAAGTTCTTCTTCATTTCTGGCGCCGTCCTCGGCTGCGCCGTTTGTCATTCGTCCTATCGTGTTTAAGGTCTTGTCACAAACCTGACATGTGTCTTCTCGTGCTTTTCGAAAACCCAACCTGCTGCCGAGATCTTCGTTGAACACGTCCCTGAAGGTAGTAAAACTTATAACAGGACCTTTGTTTTTCTTTCCCAAACGTGTCGAGGTGAAATTCGGGTATTGTCTAGTAAACTTTCCCCACATTCTCCGCATAGTTGTCGGCGTATCAAAAAATTGTTTTTCCGTTCGCGCCCTTCTGTAGTGCGAGTGGTTTGCCGAATGGGAACAGATAAACTCTGTTACTTGTCTCCTCGCATTGAAGGCCATTTTGCACACAAGGCCTAAAGCTGGGATACTGTAGGTTATTTTTCTGCGTCCGCTAGGAAATAGTTCCACTTGCATTAGTTTCGATATCACGTAATTTTGTTCGTTGTAGTTTCTAGATCTATAGAAAGCTCTACCTCGTTCCTGTCGAATAACTTGCCTCGCAGTCTCTATGCCATTCTTTAAAAGACATCCACCGTTGCAGCAGACCAAATTGACCGTGTCAACGTCGCGATAGGCGGCATTTTTTCTCCTTGACGGTGTTTGCTTTTATCCATTTTGAATCTAGTTTTTCTTCTTCCCCGTTCAACCGAGGAGGATGTTGGTGGTCCATGACGGAAATGGCTCCATTGATTGTCCACGTCAAAGTCATACAAAAATCGGGATAGGTCGGGAGCTGATTCTGCTTCACTGTTGGAAGCTGCAGCATAAGCCATTTAAAAAAAACTATCGACAAGCAGGAGCGACAAGCTTTGTTCGAATCTTCAGTTCTACTTCAAGTTGTACAAAAACGCGCAGTACTGTTACGTAAAAAGGGAGACGCCACCGTTCCACTGCTCGTGCAAAGTTTAGAACTGGCTCAAAAAACGACTGAAAAATCGTTTATTTATTTATTTTTTCTTTTACAGAGGGGAATTAACTAGTTAGGTTTTGCGCTTGCAGCCGTTTTAAGATTGGAGAGTATGGTAGATCGTGTGCCTGGTTATTTTAGCGCGCCTCGCTTTGAGGCAGAGAGGAAGCTTTTTTTGAAGGGTTATTTCTCAGAGGGGGTGAATTTTGCAAGAGAGAAAAACTGTGCATATATAAATAAGGAACATAAACTACGCGATGGAAGGGGTTTCAGGTCAGTGAAAATCGTTGTTTTATTGCTGAAGGACAGCAAATCAGTAGTTCTGGCATGGCTGCGCTGAGAGAGACGAGAAGTACTGGGACGGGTGAGTATTTGTACCCAGAGACGTGGCTATTTTTAGCTGTCGTCCGCATCCACTGCTACCCAGGGAAAGTAATCTACACGTGAAAGTCAGATCGATTGTTCCACGAAAGCACACGTAATTATCGTAAGTTTTTGTCGTCGTTAGAATTGCAATCGCCACAATTGAAAAAGACACCATATTTCACATCCC